CTCTCTCTCTCTCTCTCTCTCTCTCTCTCTCTCTCTCTCTCTCTCTCTCTCAGACATTTCAACACCAGCTTGCGACAGGTAGGCCCAGGCCGACACATTTAACATTCCTCCTGACTGTTTAGTTTAGGATTCTTTCCATGATGCTGATAGCGGCACATGCAGCAGTTGTATAGATCTACATCCGTTTGACTCGAGTCTCTTTTGCATTCTCTCCATCATGAGCAGACAGACAGAGATTTCTCAACACAATGGCCTGGATGGACGATGTTTCGCCTCCTCACCATTACGTGTACTTCAGGATAATCATGCTTTCAGTATTCCTTTCCTTACACTTGGATAAACTTTTGCTCTAGATATCTATATTTTGTCTTCGCCTTTATTGGCATGGGAGGCAATAAGTTCAAATAACAGCGGGTACAAAATAATAAAAGTAGGGATATCTAAAAGTACAAAAGCAATTCCAGTCGCTTGCTACGCGTCGTGGCTCAGTCAAAAATCAGCTGCGATGCGCCAGGGTGTAATTATCTTTTGGCGCCTTTTTCTAAGTATAGGCCCTACATGTAGTTACGGGAATTCCCTGGAATGAATGAATGGAACTTGGCGGCAACCAATCAGAAAAGAGGCCAAGCTTACCACACACACACACACACGATGCAAGCGCGGACAAGGTCAGCAGATTTTTACAAAACCAGGAGAAAAAACGACCGTTACGTGCTTGTGGTGTGATTTTTTCCCTGTGTTCCAAAGACTAAGAGGATTAGCTGAACCATCTCGGTCAGTCAGGTAGGTACTAGGTACCCCACATGTCTTTCTATAGCTTATTGTTGTAGAATTTCAAACTCTGCGAGTGAGAGTAGGCTAGAGTTAGTGCTTGTTACGTTCCTCCCATTCAGAGATGAAAGAAAGAAAACTGGGTCAGAAACTGGACATGCTCGCTCGCTTGCCGGCATGCAAGCAAAGGGCTCGCGATCGCCAGAGACAGAGGCGGCTTGAGATTGACTGCCTGAAAATAAAAATAGCTGTCCCGGTGGTTTTATGCACCCCGCAAAATTTAGCAAAATTTGATCATTTTTTTCATAATTTCTGATTATTTTCCTTTATCATTCTTTAGTAAAATTGACAGAACCGCATACTTTCTCATTTTTGGGCTCAGTTTGCATAATTTCATAATTTTTCTTTCACAAACCGACGGGGACAGAAATAAGGTAACAGTAACAGACAAGATTCTCTAGGCCTAAGTTAGAGAATCTTTGATAAAAAGTCTATTGTCACTTTTTAAAAGTTGCCGG